AGCATCACTTTCTGTGGATGGAGTCCAGGTTTTGGGGTCGGAAGTGGTTTTTGTCTAGGATTGAGCCATTGTTTTTAGTGATTAATATTTGCACAAAGAATCCATTTTTTATCACTGGTGACAATTCTGTCCAAAAATGGTTCACACACATTACTCGCCAGAAAAGATGAAGCAATGTTCACATGTTGGAAACGATGATCATTGGAAATTTTGTGAGGCACCCAAACACCTTCTTTATGAAGTTTTCCCATATTCCTTAGATGTTTACGTATTGTTTCATGAGAAACATGCAGTTTCAGAGCCATTTCATGAGTGTGTTGCCTTGGGTTAGACTCAAAAAACTTCTTCAGAGCATCAATATCAATTTCAACATGTCAGCCCCTGCCATCAAAAGTTTTAAGGCTAAAGTCACCTGAACGAAATTTGCTGAGCCATTGTTGACACTTACAAACGTTCAAAACATTACCATAAACTTGTTTGATATCCTTTGTGGCTGCAGAGGCATTGTTTCCCTTCTTGTATTCAAGCAGCATTACATGCCAAATGTGTGTCTCTTCGTGTGCCATCTCTATAAGGGATTAGTGTATACTAAACTTTACAACATTATATAGGTTACACTAACATAATGTTTAGGCAGTTCATTTAACGATTATACGTGATGTACGTTTTTTTTGGGGGGGGAGTAATGAAAGTGTTCCAAAATGTGAAATTAATTTCTCGACAACCTAATATATTAAACAAAGTATATTATTATGTACTAAAACTTCTAAATTTCAAAAGATCCAATATTTTGTAAAGAGGAATTAAAATACAGAGTAAAGAATGAAATTAATTAAAAACAAAAAGGGATAGTACAGTTTAACAACTGCAACAATATTACTGTATTTTTTGCAAAATGATACAAGTTATTCAAAACAAAGTTAATTGTAATGAAGTTGTGTTATTATTTAAAGATGGGAGCTCATTTATAATAAACAGACTTTCTTTGATTAAAAATTCAATATTAAATTATCGAGATGAGATGATTTTGAAACTTTTAGTTGCTGTTTCCATTATGAATGATAATTGTAGAGCCTGGAGGATTTGATAGTTGTTTTCCCGTTCTGCTTGATACTCCCATATGTTATCCATAATAAACCAAAATTATATTAACAAAATACAATGTATTCTCAATGAAAAACCAAAATTCAA